TAACTTTAACGATATAAACTTAATGGCCCCTAGCAAGGTAGTGATATTGATCTTATTACTGACAATTAAGAATTCTTGCAGCTTTTATGAAAGCCAAATTTTATACAACTCGATTAACATTTAGGTTTTGTAGAGAAAAATATCTGGTATCCTATAGACAAATACTAAAATAAAGAGAATCTCTAGTAGAAGAATTTTCTTAATTTGAGAGTCATTCCATAGAGACAGAGAATTTTAAAGAGTTTTGTATTGTGGCAAGATTTGAATAATTATTATGTGAGGAAAAGTAGAGAAATTGATGAACTAAGAAATTCTAAACCAAAAAAGAGATTAAGCCTTATACTCAATTCTGATTCCTTAATTCGGATCGTATACTTCCACAGAAGCATTCAAATTGCTTTAGAAAGGATCTGTAATAATGTTCTGCTATTCATTAATCTTAAATTTTTATTCAAACAAAGTTGATAGCAAATTGAAATTTTCATTAAAGAATTGATTAATAAGAAAAAATAAAGCAGAAAAGAATATAATTGAAAAAGGATGGTTTATAATTTGAATATTTAAACTTTTAAAAATAAGTAAAACAAAATAATATAAAAATACTCATATTATTGATAGTAAAGTTCTTATATTATATTGGAAGTGGATTAAAATTGAAGCTTTAATTATCAAAGAAGAAAAGAAGGAAAAAGATTATTCTGTATTCCAAGTACCATAACTAAAATTGTTGTTGAATGAAAACAAAAGAATTGGTTAGAAAATGAAATATGCAATTAATAACACTTTGAAATAATTAGATGGTCAACATTAAAATATTTAATATTTGATCTCATTCTTAAATTAATTGTAGATATTAAACTTATGAACCTTTATTATTGTTTATGGATAACAATTTGTTAGTAGGAAATAATATGAATACTACATCAGAATCTGGTAGACTCTATCTGTATATGGGATTTTGAGACAGCCCAAGTGATTCTACCTCAAGATAATAGTTACAAAGACCTTTTTTCTTAGTTTAAATTGCCACTTTAACATCTCTCAATTTTTAAAAATAGCTGAGAGCTTTAATTTTGAAAGGAATATTGTTCTAATACCATTATTCAATTCTAAAGGATGATTGAATTCTACAGACAAAAAAAAAGCTCTGTTTAATTTTCATACTAGTGATGCTAATTTCCTTAGTTAAAGTATATATCAGAAATTCAAAGACAATTAATCTAAATTACATTATTTTATTATTTCAAATGACATAACAAATAGAAATTTGCCATCATGCCCTCAAATATTGTCTTAATTTGAGTTTACAAAACAAATAAAAGTGATTCAGATTGTAAATCTGTTTTGTTTTATATTCAGTATCAGGCAGCATCAGAGAATGGGATTGATTTGATCAATTGAATTTATTGTAATGAAGATTTATTAAAGAAAATGTTTAATTAATTATACTTAGTATTTTATGAATTAACCAATTTCTATTAATCTTAAAGAAGAAAAAGTGTGGTATGATAAGGGTAATAAATTGTTATATATCGTATTAAGGTTCAGCATTAGCCGATAAAAATCAATTTCAAGAAGCAATTTAATGTTTTAATGAAGCTATTTTTATTAATCCTAAATATGATTTCGCTTTGATTGGCAAGGGTAATTTATGTTTATCGAAAAATATTAGGTAATGCATTAATTAAATTGGAGTAATATTAAGATGCAATTAATTGTTACACCGAAGCTATTTATATTAATCCTAAATCTGAAACTGCATGGAGTGGCAAAGGTAATTTAATGTTCATTATTAAAAATTAGGATATGCTTTAGGCAGTTTGTATCAATATGATGAAGCAATTGATTGTTTCAAGTAAGCCATTTCTATTAACCCTAAATATGATGATGCATGGAATTGGAAGGGTAAAAACTTTGTTCAATTATTATAATTAGGAATTTCATTAAGAAATTTGAATCAAGACTAAGAAGCAATTAAATGTTTCAATGAAG